TTCTCTCTAAGTCTCATTTAACAGTGTCTGACATTCTGGTGTTTTGGCTCCCTCTGCTCATCCTTCAGGATGGCGACGGCCTGGATAAAAAGTGCTGTGTGACTTCTCACAATTTGAAACGAGGACACGGTGCCCCTCTAAGAGGTCTCTGAGGAAGCGAGAAAAGTCCGGACCGAAAGCGTTTACACGCTAAAGGTCATAAAAGCAAAACCAGAAAAAAGTTATATCAGGATATTAAACTGTTTAGGTTTGGTCTGTTGCCATGTGTGTCATTTGTTTCCCCTGACAGTGAACGAGGTGTGGTGGTGAACAGATCAACCACAAGCATTTACACTGAAGCTGAGCGGGAACGTGGAGGTAGAAGTGAGTCATGGTCTTTTTTTCCCCTTTTATGTTTTATTGTAACATCCTCTCTTAGCCACAAGCTTATAAATTCAACACGCCAAACTGTTAGTATCAGTATTGTTGTCTGAAATTTATACCGTTGTTTGTTTTGTTTTTTAACTTGTACGTGTTAAATCCTGTCAGTATTCACCTTAATTTATCTTTTATTTTTTTATCCCTTCATAGCTGGCTAAACAAAGTAAAACCCAGCTGTTTTCCTTCACATACCAGCCGGTACACGTGAAGTATAACCCTCTGCATCTCTACCATCCAGCTGCTTCCACCCTCCTCCTCCCCTCCCTTCCTCCTCTCTAACTGTATCTCAGGCCTTACCTCAGCTTCAGATTTTCCATAAACTGCTCCATCGTGACCTCGTCCAGGAGCACAAAGTCTGACTTCCCAAACTCCAGGCCTTCCAGCTCCGCCATCCCTGTTTGAACTCGCTAGACACACAAAAAAATAAAAGACAGACCAAACCCGGGGGAACAGAAAGCACCTCAAGGAAGAAGAAAGAGAAGTATGCTCGACTTCTGGGACCCGGTAGTGTGTAGAGAGTGCGCTGTAGGCGTGGCGTGATCTTTGGTTGGGTCTTGAGGCTGTGTTCAGTCAAGTCACTGCTGTGGTAACATGCTACAGCACGTCAGGCTGTCAGTCACTCGCCTGTGCCCTCACACGGACCTATATAAATAGGAGGAGGCTATCTTTAAAAGCTCAAACCGCTTCTGCATCCTCCTCCGGCTCTGTCTTCCTGCCACAAGTCGTCCAAATTTCTTAGCTGTCACTGAACAGTGCTTAACGCGCTTGCCTTTCAGCCTTGTCTTTTTGTGTGTAAGTGTGTGTATGTGTGTAGATGTGCACTTATTTTTACTTACATCTTTACTTTCCAGGAACAGAAACTCACATTTGAGAAGCTGCCAGACAAGAGCAGTTAACCTTACTAATTTGGGGGCAGAGAAATGGTCTTTATCTCGTGGCATTTCCTTTCTTAGTTCTGCATCAGCAATGTTTCCAGTTTCCAGTTTGTAGATGGTGAAGATAAGGTTTTCCAGCAGCATGTTAGTATGTACGTATGGGTGATTTAGTTCAGAGCTACAGGAATGTTGACAAAGACAGATTTCCAAACCTATTTTGACTAAACATTGCCTCATTTTTGGCTTTTAGTCAAAGATCGTGAAGCAATGAATAAGTAAGAGCTAAATTTAGATAAAAGGTTGACAATCAAAAAAAGAATTATCGAGACTTATCCACTAGCAACATACGGTAGGCAGCTATTAACTTCAAGATCACTCAAGATCTCAAATCTAGGAAACGTTCCCACCTCACACACTCAGAATCATCAGATTTTTTTTCTACAATAACTGAAGCCACGCAAAATTTCATCTTCATACTTTGAAAATTTCAGGCTCTTGTAGTGCGTACACTGGGGTGGGGTTGGCACTCTTTACATTGCCTGATCCGTTTCATTCTCTCAACTGCAAAAGGTGTTAAATCTCTGTGAAAAACTGCAACCTAATTAATTTCACAGCCTTTTCAAGAGTCAGAACCTCAAGCTAAAATCACTTTGACACTCACTCAACTTTAAGCATTAGTGTCACAGGGCTTATTACTGCACCAGTTTCAAATCTAATAACAAAAACAAGCATTAGTATTCTGGATCTTTTATTTAAGATACTTTAAGCTGCTTCTTTGGCACCATGGAGCAACTGCACTGGGTGTTTTATCCGTTATCTGATAATTCATTGAAGAAAACATCAAAAAATGTAGCAAAAACGCACAAATTAAACTGAACAAACAAGGGACATAAATCAAAGTCAATTTTGTTTCTTAAAGTAGACTTCTCAGTTGAATGGTTAATCTGGCTGAGAAGCCTAGAAAGGCAGATCTTTCCCAGCATATAAGCGTTTCCCTGTTTTATTGTCTGTTTGTCTCTAAATGGGGCTGTAACTCACAAAAAGAGCATCAGTTCTTGTTAAATAGGACTTGAAAGTAGAGATTGAGGACAGTAACTAATCAGGAAAGTGTTTATTGGGGTCTGAAATCAAGTGAGCAGTTAGGTCAATTTTCCACAGAAATTAATACAGTGGAGTTCCCTTTTGAAACCCCCTGCTGGTGATCAGTAATAATGCAGGTATTTCAGGCGCTTCCACATTAGCTTTGCTTTATAAACGTGGCAGTCTCATTTATATATATATATATGTATACTCAACCTTTTCTGAGTGGTTAATGATGAATTTGGCTTTCAGTTGACTTTGATTAATTATATCTTCAGCCTTTATTAGGAGCATGTTCAGATAAAAACGGTGATGTGTAGAAAATGACAAAAAAACATCACTTCCTCTAAATGTGTCTAAGTATAGAGTAAGACCAAAGACTTGATGAATATATGTCTAAAAATGTATTTATTCTCAAACCTTGAAGCACATTTAGCCCATGTGGATGAACTTATACATTCAGATGATTACATCTGGATTCCTCTCAGCGCCGAGTCAGTGAGTCTAAACTCAATCTGCATTTCCAACATGCTCCTGCAGTTCTCACTTATCTTTCCAAGCACAGACAAGTGACACAGCATGACTCAGTTGGACTGTTTTTGCCATGATGAGCCAAATCCATGCCTGTATTGTC